CGAAGACCGTTATCGAATGACACAGTTTTCTTTCAATTACAGAAAGGGTATTAACACCGGTTAGTGTGTCGGCCGAATTATCATTGTTTACCCGAAGCTCGAATATTGAGAAATCAATCATTGGCATCGTCGGAATAAAACTATCGTTAAGTATTTGTTTTCGCCGGTTAAACCAAGCTTTTTTAGACAATAAAGATGTCAAAAAGCTTCGATTTATCGGAATTTGGAAACTGTATTAGGGGAGGAGATCGATCCCGGCCCGGCCGATATCCGGTAACATCGATCTTTATAAACCCATGTCGGTGCTCCTAAACTACTTATTATATTGTTCGAAAACTATGATCTTCCCCCGGTTGACACCACCAGCTGGCGACGGGCCTTTAAAATCGACAATACTCCCTTCGATTTTTATAAGTTTCCCGAATATTCCCGGCAGCTGTGGGGCGGTAATTGGTCTTTTTTTTTGTCGACTTCGATACCCGTCTTAAGATTTATTAACCATTCCATCGAAGTTTCGGAATTTCTGTTCATTCCCCGGCTATTGAGGTAAATGGAAGAAGTTTCTTCAAAACAATTTACGAAAGAACGGAGGAAATATTTTGATAAAAATTCAAAAATACCCCCACGAATTACGCAACGATTGAATGATGTCGTGACGGACGGACGAGCACGAGTCGATCGTATTCTTAGAAGTATCGTTCTTTATCGTCGCCATATTTAACGAAGGTCGAAGGTGGAATTTCGAGATTCGAGCTAGATTTTGCCTCGGAATTGGGTGGAGCGCACCGAGAACTTTCGGATTTCCACGAAAATTCGTAGATTCTTCTTTTAAAAATAATAATAAATCTCTGGTTTTCGGACGAGCGAGAATAAACCGGAAGCGCGTAATTAAATTAACCTTGGTTTTTCTACGTCCGTCGAGGAATTTACGACGACGGGAGAAAAATAATTCTTCAATTATTTCGCAATTCTTATTAAAATGTACATACAAACGTCTATCTTACGCTAGTTAACGTCGCTCGGGGACGGCTTCCATTTTCGTTTAATGGCCGGTTAATTTAATCTACATTACACAAATCATACTCGAATCGTCGTCGTCCCGAAATTATACCTTCGTTAAAACCGCCGACGAATTAATTAAATATTGTTAACAGTGGAAATACCAGGGAGGTAGTGAGGATTATCGATTGGTTTACCAGCGGATTCTTCCTTTTTTTAATTTAGAAAAAAACCTCGCCGGATGGTCTTCACCCGGCGCATCTCTAGATTAAATTGTTTTTTCTGTCTCGCAGTTTTATTGGAGTAATCGAGTGTCTTACACAACGGAGCTAATTATACAGTTCGATGATATTAACCTTGACCGTGAAATAAGTCAACGATCAAGTTCACCTTTCGTGTCGATATAACCAGTTCCACCGGATCCATTTTGGTTTTATTACCAGTCTCGACGTCGTACCAAAATGTATTTTTTGTACAGAAAACTGTATTATGTGACCAGCTTTACGTTTTGTACCCCGGCATACCTCTTCTGGTATTTACACTACTTCGTCTGTCGCGCAGCCAAAGAGGAAATAAGATAAATAATGCGGTTTAAAGTACGACTGGCCGTTATTAAATTCGAATGTTTTTTTCCCCCTCTTTACCGAGGGTTTTAAATTTTTCTACCCCACAAAAACGGGGAAAAGTCGTCGTAATTTACATACCGGGAAAACGTATTAAATTTCAGCCATAAATACAGAAAAAATATAGAGTTAATTAACATTCTTAATAGAACTTTGTAATGCCTTTTTTTTGTGAGTTTTTCACGCGTGAGACTTAAACAAAGATAATTTTCTGTAATGGCTCGGAAGTTTCACATTTTAAACACAAATACCGGATTCCTCGGGGTGAAAAAATGTTACGGCGAAGACCTTGTATGGGAGTTTTTTCGTGGGGATAAAGTTCTTAAAGGGGAAAGAAAACTTGACACTTTTTATCGGGTTTTGTTTAGAAGTATATAGAATTAATACGTGTAACGAAACCTACTCCGTGCCTTTCACAAAAAAAAAGGGTCTCCTTGTACAACAACCCGAACCCATCCAAGCAAACTAAATTCTTAGAACGGTTCGTAAGTTTAAAAAATACCTAAGTGTACCGGAGTTACCTTTTATATTACACCGAAGGACGTTGGGTATGAATCTATTCGATTATAATTAGACTCTTTTCGTACCTAGTGCAAATAATTGTAGAATGATTAAGGACGGTTTTGTTTGCCTCTGAATTATCGGAATTCTATACCACAGGATGTGACTCATTTTTTAGTTACCCGTACGAGTGGAGGGAGGTCCAATTTATAAAGTCCGAGCTTTGTTCGAGAGTTGAAAAAAAAAGTCCCGGTTTCACGCTTTTCTAATATAAAATATAGCGAGTGTGGGTTTTAAGAGAATTGCAAAAAGCACGAAACTGTAACGCGACATACAAATGTAACGGGGGAAATCCTAGATTCGATTAAGTAAACATTTTACTCAATACCTGTATAATTTTGCCTATAATTCGATGGAGTAAATGGCGAGGGAGTGCCAAAACCGCGGAGAAAACAATGTACAAGTCGACCCCCCTATAACACTGTAGATTATTTCATTTTATACGAATTCCGTGTTGTACGAGTCACTTAGATTTTACAAATACGTGAGCCGTTCATACGTATTTGTAAAATCTAAGTGACTCGTACAACACGGAATTCGTATAAAACGGAATAATCGACAGTGTTATAGGGGGGTCGACTTGTATGGCTGGAAAACATCTTTAGAAGAACAGGATTTTTCTACACTTTATTGCGTAATAAGATTTAATGATCGAATAGATACATCTGCCATTAAAAATAATCCTAACCTACTTATCGAAGTTCCAGTTAATTAAATCTTCGGGACGAATAAGTAATTTAAAAAGACACGCGGATCGAAGCGGTCCAAAAACGAGAACGAATTCACTGGAGAATGTTACAAACTATATTAATTATTATTACGCATTTTTTTTTCTCTCGTCCCGAAAATTAGATGCCGGTGTAGCCTCGAGCTAAGGGTTGGACGCAACAATTATTTTCTAGACAAGCAAATTTTTCTCGTAAACGGAGACACGCCAAAGAGTTATATGTTTATAACGTAACCTAATTAGCTTTCTCAATATCAGGTGGGTTAAGTACAGTTAATTGAATATTTAACACGGAGGCAAGGTTTTTTCGGAAGGATTTCTAGTGTAGAAACGACTACAATAAAGGGGAAAAAAATCGTCTATATTAAGATCGCTCCAATTAGCAAATATCTGGATTGCGAGATCCGAAGTGCATAGGTAATAGGGCGAGTCGAGTAGTCGGTGGTATGTAGAAACCACCGGTTATCTCGTAACGTGTAACCCGCACCGAATAAACAAAGCTTATCGAATTATACGGCGATTATTTTATATCCACGAAAGATAACGGATGAAGGAAGAGAGGAGAATAAACTTACTTAATTTACGGTCCGATTCTTCTCTTTAATAACTTCCAATTTTAAAACACTCCTCGTCTTCTCCCCTCAAAAACCAAAAGTAAACGTAAGAAACCACTTCGGTACTTTCGTTACGTCGCATTTCCGTCGTTTCGGGTGCGCAAATGTTGGTGTTTAATTTAAGTAATAATAATAAAAAAATGCATCGGGGGAGTATTAATACGATACTCAATCGATACGTCATACGAAACCTTTATTAATTTCGTCAAAATTAATTAAAGCGCACCCGGGAAATAAGTTCAAATTACTTTCGTCAAACCGGACAAAAATCCCCCCTTTTTTTTCGTTTTCCTTAGAGAAAAATATGCAAATTATTTTGGTTAGAAATTATTTCCAGTTAAACGAAGCATTAACCTCCATTTTTATTTAAAAAAAATCATTATTATATTTTAATATAACCAGATGTCGGATGACGAGACGTGTCGTATTATCATAAATAGAGGAAAATTAACCTCAAAATTTCGTCGGTATTATTAAAAAAAACGTGGAGTTATCGCTTTATATCTAGAAAATATTTAGGACTGGAGGGAAAGTAAACGGCAAAAATAAAGGTCAGAAACCTGGAATGGACGAGGAGTAATTTTTATATTTTAAATAATAATAAAATCGCATTCTTCCCGATGACGTTAATAATGCGTGAAAATCGAACTAAAGTACGTTTACGATCGGAGTGTTTTCTAACAATAACCGGTGACCTATGATGAAAATAGACACTACATAGGCGTTCCCGGACGAGCGCTTCATCCGTAAACTTCGGAGGCCAACCCCGGGCCCGGGGCTGTTTCCCGATGAACTTCCATTCACCTACATTTTGCTACTTTAAGCGGCTCGACTAATCCTAGTACAACCCCCCTATAACACTGTTGATAATTCCGTTTTATATGAATTCCACGTTGTACGAGTTACTTAGATTTTACAAATACGTATGCCGAGCTGTGAACGGCTCACGTATTTGTAAAATCTAAGTAACTCGTATAACGTGGTATTCATATAAAACGGAATTATCAACAGTGTTATAGGGGGGGTCGACTGTAATAGGAGCGATCTCTTTATTTTTCATTTTTTTTTCTCTCTTATGGAAACAGGTTAAAATAAAACTAAAAATTTCGAGTTTAAGAAAGAGGATAAAATAGATTTAGAAGAGAATTTAATACTTTTAAACAAAGACGGGGGTTGTAAATTCGAGAAAGACAAAAGAAATTCGAAGAACAGTGTTGGAAGGAGTGAAAACTGCTAGTATTTTTTTCGTATCCCCGATCTACAAAGGCGATAATTCGACTGGTATCTTACGATGTGGGTCAACGAAAGCTTTTTTATTTTTTATTTTTTTCGGCCGGCCGCTCTTACGACTTATCCGGCGTGGTAGTGTAAAAGGTAACGGAGGTAGAGAAGCGCCCGACTCGATTGACAAAGCCAAATAGACAGATAGGTGACGTCAGAAGGCAGCGACGAATAGCAAATAAGCCGCCTAGAGATCTCAGGTGCAGACAACACGGGAGACCAGTTGTTTGATGTTTGGACTAGAACGCACGTGCTGGATATGTCGAGCTGGAGATGTTGGCTTCTCCTATTGTTGGCCGGTTGTTGTTCGGGTCGCACTCCCCAGGACGAACACAATCGACTATTAAGGTTCCTCCGACCCGATTCGGAACAGGTGACCATCGACATTCCCGTTATCAGAAGCTTCGGGGTGATACTGGACGACGTCCTGGATCGAGTCCGATGCGTTCAACAGGGATTAACTAATTACGAGTGTACGGAGGTGAGTGGTCCGCGGCTTAACTCTTCGTGTTGCAACTCTTTCGCTCTTCTTTCCGCCAATAAAGTCGTACGAATACCGTTTATCGGATACTCCGGCGCTTTATTCGAAAATCTTCATAGGCGTGACTATAAATACCGCGCCGTTCTACCTACAAATGTCTACGGGCGTTATCCGTACTAATTTTAGACCGGAGCCGTAAAATATAAAACTACAATAACCGAGCTTACTTTTTACCGGAATAAGTAAGACGGAGGTAAAGAGAAGAGTTAAATTCCTGTAAAAATAATTTTAATAGTGGCGCCATCTGTTAGCGTAAGCGCCAACTAATTTGCGCGTAAAATAAATTCGTAAGAGTAAACGATTAACTCGTTCTGGTTTCTTATTTTTATCACTTAGTGCTTATCCGTCCGTAGAATGTTGAAGCTGTCTTCCTCGGATGAATCGTCCTCGTCCACCCACATCGATGACGTCACGCGCCTTAGTGTCATTCTGGTCTATCACGTGTCCACTCTGAAGAGCACCTGCAGGAAGCCGGAGACTCTGTCCTGCGGTACTTACGACGGCTGCAGAGAAGAATTGTTCGAACGTTTCGCCGTCGACGACGGGCAATTTTCCGAAAGTTTAATTTTGGAATCTTTAGAAGAAATTCTGAGGAACGTCAAAGCGGTTTACGACCCGCTAAACAGGAGAAAGGTGCGTTGAACGATGTAAACAACACGGATCACGTGTCGGTCGGTACCTTGGCTGCTTAAAATAAGCTCGGACTATCGAGTGTTAAACCTTGAACTAGAATTGTTCTTCCGTTAAAGTAGTTCAAGGCGTTCTACTAATTAAAATACTTCGCTGTCGTTGAACGTTATGAATATTTCTTTCAAATTACTCCTATAAAAACGCCATCCTACTTAATTCTAATCGTATTGACTCGTCGTTCCTTTCACACCTGTACACGTGCACCGGTGGGTATGGTCTGCGCTCCGATCGGGTCCCCACGGTCTCCTTGGCGGGTGTTATTGTACCTAAAAATATGCACTAAAGCCCTACGGTCGGCTAAGAAATTTGCGTGTAGTATAATGAATGTACAGTCGACCCCCCTATAACACTGTTGATTATTCCGTTTTATATGAATTCCATGTTGTACGAGTCACTTAAATCTAAGTGACTCGTACAACATGGAATTCATATAAAACTAAATAATCAACAGTGTTATAGGGGGGTCAACTGTACAGTATTTAAAAACATATATACTTTTCAATAGAATAATAATATCCATAAATAGATTGCCTGTGTAATAATGATCTGGTCTACTTCCACAGAAAATTATTTATTATTATTGACTTTTTCTAGAGGAAGAGTTTGAAATAATTAAAAATTAATTTTATTATTAATTTGGATCCGAACCTACTCTCTGCGGTGTCTGTTTACGGATGACAATTATGTATAAAACTCTTAATGTATATAATTAATGGTGAAATTAGTGGCGGTGTAATTAAACCTTCCGCCCCGGGTACAAAATTAATCGACGCCGAGGTACATACATAATTATATTGATATTATTTATTGAACTGGAATTAATTATGAAGCTGTTATAAGATGTAATATGATTATAATGCAATTATTATATATTATTATACATTGTAAAATGATATATAATTACCATTGGTTATTACTTGTGTTTATTATATAAGGTATGTATACTTTAATACTCGAATTTCAAACCTTTCTTCCAAATTCTTTTAAAAGCAAATTTGTTGGCATTGCATTGTTGCAATGCCAACAAATACACGGTGTAATTTGTCCTGTAACTGGGGAAAAAATATTGGCATAATATGTCATTTGTCTAGTCATTTGTGCTTATGGCTTGTGTGTTGTTCCCCATCCCTTCTAGACTCATCTTTTGTAAAATTTTTAAATTTAGATAAGAGATTTTATATGTTGAAATATTTATTATTTCATTTTAAATCTTAAAATTAATAATTAACATTTTATAATTTAGTGTTTTAGTGCCGAAGACCTTCTGGTGGAGTTCAATAATACCAGATTTACTTCCGAAAATGAAAGTTTTGAAAATATTATGAGGCTGGCGCTCGGTCACATTCTGAGAGGTAAGTAATTTCTTTTGTAATGTTCTTATAATCCAGATACTTCCGTTAATATACCTCGCAAATAATGTACGGCAAAAACATCAAATATATTTTAAATACGTAAAATAAATTTTAACCTAACACGTGGCTACACCTCTCACAGATGTTTAAATAAATTTCACCTGGGATTGCGCATTTTGATGCAGATTGCTTTGTTGAAAATCTTAATTTCATATTTTGGATTTAAAATATTTGAAATTTAAAATAAAATTTCAAAAATAAATATAATTAAATAATAATCCATAGAATTATTTCATTTTTATTACAATATATTGATACATTATAATAATCTTAAGTAATATATAGAAAACAGTATATTTATTTTAAAAATAATCTTGTAAATGATATAATAAGATCCAAATTTAGTTCATTAAATAATCTAACCAAAATTTGTTGTAAGTGGAGTAATTTATTTAATAAAGATGATAATTTATTATTTAATAATGTAATTGGTACAATTATTAAATTTTTAATGGCTTTAAAATATAAATTATTTTTGAAAATTTTTAAATAAATAATATGATATTTTATTGGCAAGTAAATACATATATTTGATGAAATGCAAATTAAATTAAATTAAATTTCATTTACATTTAAATTCTTTTAAGTATTAAAATATAGTATTCATTGAGTTTTTTTATTATAATATTTTTTTATTTTAAAATATTACAAAACTGAAGTAAATTTGTTTTTGAAGTTTTAAACATTAGTTGAAGTAAACCGAAAGTTGTTTCCAGTTTTAAACAATCGTTACGAGCTCGAAAAAAATTACGAGCGACGACGTACGTTTGCAAATTTGGAATACGTTAGAAACTTATCGACTTTTCTCGTTAAATGCTCTAAATTCCTCGTTTGTTTACTTTCGAGCGGACCTCAGATTATACTTTGCGTTGCGCTCGACTCGTTGACGAAATAGAATAAAAATTCGGCTGCCATTCCCGCTAGTAATTTTATTTAATTAAGTTTCTTACTAAGTTTAAATAATCAAATAAGATCATTTAACTGCTAATAAAATTGCAAAATGTCATAAAATTTCGAAATATATATTTTGAATTCGAGTAAAATTAACAAGGACTAGAACGTGAGAGTGGTTTAGATTGGGTTGACTCCAAGATGTGCAATTAAGTTATTTTCATAGTAAACAGACTAAAGTCAAACATCTACTATGTTTGCTAGGAAAGTAGGAAGTTTAAATTGGGATATAAGTAAATGTGTATTTTTGGAGGAGAAAAAAACTTCAAAACTCTTGTAAATAATTTTGTTTCCAGAAATTAAAAAAATATATATACATACATATGGAATCTTTGACTTTCATTTACAAATATACTTAATTTATATTCATATTATTAAATTCAACATAAAAATTAGCATTAAAATTTTTAATTTAAATATTTATTTTAAATCTAATTATTTATTTCTTTATTTTAATATGAAAAATACTTGAGAAAGTATATTAAATAATATAAATGTACTGATTGATATTTTGTTGTCTGTAAACTTGTATAACATCATTTTTTTAATAATAAATCATTGTCGTAAAGGAAAATGTCTATATTATATTTGAAAACAATTTGAAAATATATTTTTATATATTTGGGTCAAATCAATTTTCACATGCATAGATATAAATATATATATATGTATGTATGTATGTTGGTAAAGTTTCTTATAAAATGTAGACAATACCTGACTTAGTTACATAATATTGTTATAATTTAATATTTTTATTATAATAATTAGAAAAATAACTTTTGTTATCGAAAGTGTAAAAAATGACTAATTTAAATTAATTTTAAAAACCAGCTGGTATAATATTTCTGATGAGGAAGAAGAAAATTAGTCAGAAAATGCAAGGTTTACAGAAAGTATAATTTTTGTATATTTGTGATGTAATCTCCAGAGTTAAATTTTTTGGGGAAAACACCTTCAGTTGCTTTTAAACAGAAGGAACATGTAGGTGGTGTGACACAAACGTCAACTTTAGCATTTTGGAAAGTGTCCACCCTACCGTAGAAACTAATCAAAGGATTCTGGCCAAATTATAATGGGATATTTTTGTATTTGACGTAGCGTCGATTAATATTAATATTGCGATTTCCCGTTGCGCTCGAAAACGGAATCTCTCCAAAAGAAATGTTTCGAAAACGTCTAACGTCACGTCTCCTTGAATTTTTAATATATTTATTATTATTTTAATAAGGGAAAATTATTTAAAATTAAAATTATATTAATCATTTCTAATTTGACAACTTTAACTTGTTTTTGATTCATTTTTTAAAATAATTTTCTTATTTGTAGTCGGTACAAAATCTTAATAGAATTAACATCAATTATGTGAATTCTCTTAAGTGAATAACTGAACTTTCTTTAGTAGAAAGTGTATTTACAAGTACTTACACTAGAAACTTGCTATTATAGTGGAGTTGACTGCCCTGTTTGTATGTCAGGTGTATAACAACTTTGTCCTGATTTTCTTTTTCATGTTGATATTTGAATTTGCTGAATGTATAGCAGTATTGACAATAAGGAAGTAATATAATGATCTACAGTGCTAGAGCAGAAGCTGTAATACATCATAACACTGTTAAAAAATACAGAATTTATCTTTAAATATTATTAATTTTATTAAATATAAATATTCGTATATTAAATCTAATAATTATTTTTATATGCTAGAGTTAAATTCTTACATCTATAAATTAAAATTTAATCTGAGACATATTTATTGAAGATTTTAAATTGAATTTTTAATATTTTCAATCTTATTCTGTAGCCATTTTCTACAGTAGATAAGTTACTGACCTCTTAAAGTATAACAATTACATTCACTATATTTANGTTAAATTCTTACATCTATAAATTAAAATTTAATCTGAGACATATTTATTGAAGATTTTAAATTGAATTTTTAATATTTTCAATCTTATTCTGTAGCCATTTTCTACAGTAGATAAGTTACTGACCTCTTAAAGTATAACAATTACATTCACTATATTTAATTGCAAGATTTAATATCTATAATGGTAGATATAATTTACTACATTTACTAATTATAGTACATTAAAATTCACTGCACACAAGTACTTTATCACAACGATAATGATGTAGCACTATTCATATCCTGAATTTTCTTTTTATTTTATCAAAAATAGATCAAATAGCATTCTAAAAGCATGAAGGAAAGAAATTTGTTTTATTATATAAATCATAAGTTATTCATCTTGCTTTCTTATTAAATTTCTTCATTTTTTTCTTTCAAATATTTTTGTTATTAGTGTTCTAATTTTTGCATTTAGCTAATTTCAACTTTNATTCTTTTAAGTATTAAAATATAGTATTCATTGAGTTTTTTTATTATAATATTTTTTTATTTTAAAATATTACAAAACTGAAGTAAATTTGTTTTTGAAGTTTTAAACATTAGTTGAAGTAAACCGAAAGTTGTTTCCAGTTTTAAACAATCGTTACGAGCTCGAAAAAAATTACGAGCGACGACGTACGTTTGCAAATTTGGAATACGTTAGAAACTTATCGACTTTTCTCGTTAAATGCTCTAAATTCCTCGTTTGTTTACTTTCGAGCGGACCTCAGATTATACTTTGCGTTGCGCTCGACTCGTTGACGAAATAGAATAAAAATTCGGCTGCCATTCCCGCTAGTAATTTTATTTAATTAAGTTTCTTACTAAGTTTAAATAATCAAATAAGATCATTTAACTGCTAATAAAATTGCAAAATGTCATAAAATTTCGAAATATATATTTTGAATTCGAGTAAAATTAACAAGGACTAGAACGTGAGAGTGGTTTAGATTGGGTTGACTCCAAGATGTGCAATTAAGTTATTTTCATAGTAAACAGACTAAAGTCAAACATCTACTATGTTTGCTAGGAAAGTAGGAAGTTTAAATTGGGATATAAGTAAATGTGTATTTTTGGAGGAGAAAAAAACTTCAAAACTCTTGTAAATAATTTTGTTTCCAGAAATTAAAAAAATATATATACATACATATGGAATCTTTGACTTTCATTTACAAATATACTTAATTTATATTCATATTATTAAATTCAACATAAAAATTAGCATTAAAATTTTTAATTTAAATATTTATTTTAAATCTAATTATTTATTTCTTTATTTTAATATGAAAAATACTTGAGAAAGTATATTAAATAATATAAATGTACTGATTGATATTTTGTTGTCTGTAAACTTGTATAACATCATTTTTTTAATAATAAATCATTGTCGTAAAGGAAAATGTCTATATTATATTTGAAAACAATTTGAAAATATATTTTTATATATTTGGGTCAAATCAATTTTCACATGCATAGATATAAATATATATATATGTATGTATGTATGTTGGTAAAGTTTCTTATAAAATGTAGACAATACCTGACTTAGTTACATAATATTGTTATAATTTAATATTTTTATTATAATAATTAGAAAAATAACTTTTGTTATCGAAAGTGTAAAAAATGACTAATTTAAATTAATTTTAAAAACCAGCTGGTATAATATTTCTGATGAGGAAGAAGAAAATTAGTCAGAAAATGCAAGGTTTACAGAAAGTATAATTTTTGTATATTTGTGATGTAATCTCCAGAGTTAAATTTTTTGGGGAAAACACCTTCAGTTGCTTTTAAACAGAAGGAACATGTAGGTGGTGTGACACAAACGTCAACTTTAGCATTTTGGAAAGTGTCCACCCTACCGTAGAAACTAATCAAAGGATTCTGGCCAAATTATAATGGGATATTTTTGTATTTGACGTAGCGTCGATTAATATTAATATTGCGATTTCCCGTTGCGCTCGAAAACGGAATCTCTCCGAAAGAAATGTTTCGAAAACGTCTAACGTCACGTCTCCTTGAATTTTTAATATATTTATTATTATTTTAATAAGGGAAAATTATTTAAAATTAAAATTATATTAATCATTTCTAATTTGAC